AGAATATGCGTTTTGCGCGTGTGTGAAATAATAGAATTGCAGGAATAAAATAAAGAGAGTAAGGGAAAGAAGAACACCGAGATTTATACTGGTTCACCACCTCGTGGCTAATCCAGTCTTCCGAGAGACTCTCTCGAAAGTCCTACTAATCTTCAAGCTTCAACGGGTGCTTGAAAAACCGGTACAACTTGAGAACTTGAATCACACAAGCCTCACTTTCTTACAACAACAAGACTTGAGTCACACAAGTCTTATGAACAATTACTCAAAAGAGATTGAGTTATACAACACAAGAATGAAAGCTCACACAATTGAGCAAGTAGTGTTTGAAAGATTTAAGCTCTATGGATGACAACTTCTTTAGCACTCAAAGAAAATATTTCTAACTCTCAAAAATAATATTTTGATGAGGAAGATGAAGCAAAGGATGAATATAGCTCAAAGAATATATTGGAGTGAAAGAGATGTGTATTGAAATGAAGGAGAATGAGGGATTAAATAGGCTGAGGAAAATAAAGCCGTTGGAGCAGGCTGAGAATATGCACCAGATAAAATTAATCGATTAAAGTAAAAGTTTAAATCGATTACGGTACATAGAAGCGAATAGCCTGAAAAGAAACTTGAATCATAATCGATTAAATGAAAACAAATAATCGATTAGGAGGTTCTGTCCAAGCTAATCGATTTTCTTAGAAGAAATAATCGATTAAGAGTTGAAACCTGAGAAATTGCGCTGGATCTAATCGATTATATTAAAGGATATAATCGATTAAAATGAAAAATAATGCTCAAACACAAAGGGCCCAAGCCAAGTGCGATTGGAAGCACTTTGGCTTCTAACTCGTTGTTTGGGACAACGAGAATAACAAGGCACGCTCCTGGGATTTTATCTCCTATTCAATGAATTTGAGTAGGGGAGAGAAAAAGAGTCCAAAAAAAAATTATTTTGTGTGTCAAACAATACACGAAAAATATTTAAAGTATATTTTTCTCACCAAAGAAAATTGTGTAATCTTAAAAAATGTTTTAAAGAAATTTTGACACACTTATTTTGAAACTGACTCACTAAAATATTTTAGACAGAGTAAAAGTGATTTTTCAACTGACTCAAAAATAATTTTTATCCGTCACAAAAATAATTTGATTGTGCAGAAGATAATGTCATCCTTACAAAAATTCCTAGACTTAATAAAAAAATCTTCGGAGTCTTCGCTTCACTTCAAGAAAACTGCGTAGGGGTGAGCGTGAATTTTATCGTCGAAACTTCTTGATGCCCTTCTTTGCTTTTCTCGATCCGAAAAAAAGTTTTCGAATATAGATTTAATCATCCTGTTTGTCATTCATCAAAACAAAAATAATCCAAAAAATAATAAAGGGGTTTGAACTCATGTCCAACATTTGTAAGAATTTAACCATCAAATTTTGAAAAAAAGTAAAGTGTTGGAAAATCATGGTGAGCTTTGCAGTGGACAGTGGTGAGTTTTGCGGTGATCAGTGATGAGCTTCAGCGTCATGTGACTAAAACATGTCATCTTACAACAAGGTGTCATCTCACCGGAGTCAATCTTATCCCATATATATATATATATATATATATATATATATATATATATATATATATATATATATATATATATATATATATATATATATATATATATATATATATATATATATATATATATATATATTGAAGGAAGTTTTATTTAATCCGAAGAAAAGAAGTGGATACATCACATTTGATAGCTCCCCTAACTTTAGTCGGGAGACTATCAAATGAAATATAAATCGAAAACACATTGTTTTTAATTGCATGTTGGGCCAAGTGATGGGCTGCTGTGTTTGCCTCCCTGAATATGTGATTTACTCGCCCTCCGGATCTATTGATGTGTTCCCTGCTCAGCCTGCTAAGAAAATCGTTATTTGTCTGATCCTAAATTCTTTGAACACAGTTACTGGAGTCGCTGTAGAGATTGATTGGTGTGTCTAGGTAAAGACATCTTCGTACTCCACCGTAAGCAGCTTCAAGTTCTCCTTCCTCTGCGGATGTTCTGTTTTGGAGGTTGAAAGTCCATGCCTTCAGAAATTCTCCCTGTCTAGTTCTTAAGATTGCCGCTCCTGCCCCTCTACCTTCTCGTAGTGCAGTGTCTGTTGTGAGAATTAGTCCTTCTGCTGGGAATTGCCATTTGTGTATGGAGATTGCGCCCATCTTCACCGAGGGTATATTGTGTGTGATTCTGATGCCTTCTATTTTCTGACTCGATTGATTGATGACCATCCATTCATATGTTTTTTAAGAATGGTGTTGATGGTTTGTTGGACATTGTGTTCCTCGTCCTCGTAGACCCTTCTATTCCTTTCTTTCCAAATTTCATGAGTAATTATGCCTGGAATGTTGTTGATCAACGAAGTGTTATCTCTTTGTTTTTGTCCTTGCTTCCACCAGTTGTTTAAGTAACTCAAAATTCCATGATTGATGCCTCTGCTTATGCTGAATACTTCCTCAAAGTAGGTCCAGATTTGCTTACTGAAAGGGCAATTCTGGAAAAGATGTGTGCTGCTTTCCTCATTATTCCTGCATAAAAAACAAATAGAGGGACTATGGAATCCCATTCTAGTTAGTGATTGGGGAAGGGGGAGGTAGCCAAAACTAAGTTTCCAAAGAAACAATGAGTGTTTAGGAGTCTGCTTAGGGGTCCAGCAGAATTTAGTGAAAGGATGGATGGGGTTTTTCTCTCTCAGTGAATTCTTTGCCTTCTTCATGCTAAAACCAGCATCATTGTTATTCCACCAAAGTCTCCCAAAATCATCTATATGGAACAGACTTTGCGCAATGTCATTGGCTTTGTAGAGCCTTTTCCAATAGATAGAGTCTATGATTTTGGGGGCAATGTCAAGACCTCTAGGGTATCTGGCCCTCATGAACTTTGCCCACAATGAATCATTTTGAGTATAGGTCCACCACATTTTGAGTCCATAAGCTTCTTGAATAGTGGGGAGATCAGTCAGGCCTAAGCCACCTTCCTCTTTGGGGAAGCAAAGTTTCTCCCAAGTGGCCCAATGATATTTATTTCTACCATCTACTTTACCCCAAAGAAAATTACTCATCTTTGTATGGAGACTCTTGATGATGCTCTTTGGAATTTTGCTGCAGCCCAATAAGTGAAGTGGAATTGAGTTGAGCACATGTTTAATGAGAACAAGTCTTCCATTCATGCTCAGGAATTTTTTGTACCAACCTTGAAGTTTGTTGTCAAAGAGATTGAGGAGGTCTGTGCAGTATTTCTGTCTATTAATACCTTGATGAATCTGCACACCTAGGTATTTAAAAGGTAGGGAACCTTTGTTCATGCCAAGGATTGCCTCTGTTCTCTTTAAAATAGAATGGGATGTTTTTTTGGAGTGTAAAAAGAACATTTTCCCTGGTTAATTTGTTGACCAGAGCAATCCTCATAATCTTTAATCAGGCGCTTAATTTTGGCTAAGTTTCTAGCACTGCCATTAGAGAAAAGTATAAGATCATCAGCATAGGCAAGATGTGTGACTGAAAGAAAGTGCCTCCCAAGGTAATATGGGGAGAGATGGCCAGAGGAAGTTTCTGCTTTAATGGTTCTGCTGAATGCTTCTGAGAAAAGAATGAATAACAGAGGGGAGATAGGGTCACCTTGCCTAAGTCCCCTATTAGGCTTAAAACTCTTGGTTTGACGGCCATTAACCAAAAGGGAGAAATGTGAGCTCTAAAGAAGATTTAGGATAAAGTTTTGGAATTTATGACTGAACCCAAATTTATTTAGGACAGTCATTAGAAAATTCCAGGAGATCCTTTCAAAAGCTTTAGACATATCAAGTTTGATAGCAAGATTTCCTCCTCTGGTAGGGTACTCTAACCCATGGATAAGTTCCTGGGCAATGAGTATCTGATCATGAATTACCCTTCCCTTAATAAATCCTCCTTGTTCTGGGGAGATTATGTGAGGTAGTAAGGAGCTTAACCTTTGGGCAAGAATTTTGGAGAGGACTTTGAAAATGAAATTAGATAGGCAAATAGGCCTATAGTCCTCACAAGTGATGGGATTCTCTTTTTTGGGGATGAGGATTATATTAGGGTGGGAAATGCACTTAGGAATTGGGATGCCTAGGAAGAATTCTTGAACTGCTTTAGTACAGTCTTCCTTGATCTCCTCCCAATTTTGTTTGTAGAATTCCCCATTGAATCCATCTGGGCCTGCTGAACTGTCTGCGGATAGAGACCAAATTGCATCTTTTACTTCTTGTTCATCTGGCAGAATGCACAGTTTTTCATTATCCTCAGTCCTCAGTAAATTAGGGATGTTTTTAAGGAATCTGTTGCCATCCTTTAATTCCTTTTCCTGAAAGAGTTTTTGGAAATATTGGAGAAACTCCTCCTGGATATCCCCTTGATGATGTAACCAGGTTCCTTGAGTGCTCTTAATCCTGGAAATCTTCTGATGTCTTCTCCTTTCTTTGGTAATTGCATGAAAGAAGGCTGTATTAGAGTCACCCTCTTTTGCCCATTTAATATTAGCTTTCTGCTTCCAGTATGAGAACTCCTGTTGTGTGGCTTGAATTAATTTGGCTTTGACTTCATGCATCTTCATTCTGTTATCTGGAGTGGGTTGGTTGTCAAAAAGGCCTTCCATTTCTTGTAATTCACCTTCCAAAAGCTGCACTCTATTGAATATGTTCCCAAAAATATTTTTGTTCTAGTCTTGGAGAATAAGGGCCAAATGAGCTAGTTTGCTTCCTAGACCTCTCATACCCCCTCCAGTGTATCTGCCCCAGCTAGTAACAATAAGATTTTTGAAAGTATTGTTAGTATTCCAGCAGTTGATGTATCTGAAGGGCCTTGGACCATTGTAGGTAGAGCTACTGAGTTTGACCAGAATTGGAGAGTGGTCTGATTCTCCTCTAGACAGATGTATACAGTTTATGTCTTGAAAAGAGTTTAGGGAATGATAATTGTGAAAGAATCTATCCAATTTTCTCCAAACTCTCCCCTTGGATCTAACCCCAGTCCAAGTGAAAGGATTTCCAATGGTTGGTGGGGAAATAAGGGATGTATCCATGAGACACTTGTCAAAATCTTGAATACTTTGGAGGCAGGGGGAGCTTTTACCCTTATGATGATCCACTGTAGAAATGCAGTTGAAATCCCCCCCAAGAATCCAAGGATGCTGGAGGTTGAGACTAGTTGTGTGAATGTTTTTCCAGAGGATTCTTCTGTCAGCAAGGGTGTATTTACCATAGACAATGGAAATGGTTATGGGGCTATTATTATGCAAGAAATATATGTTAATGAGTTGATCCACTTCCTGGTGAGTTGTGTAATGAAGGGTTTCATCTTTCCACATAATCCAGGCTCTGTTGTCAGCCATAACAATGGAGTGTGTGAACCCAAGAGAAAGCTGGTAGTGTGTGATTTTCTGCTGATGTGTTTTAGGTTCCAAAATAGCAAGAAGGGAAATCTTGTGAGTGGAAGTGAGAATAGCTACCCTCTGGAGTTTGGAGGGCAGCCCACAAACATTCTAGTAGAGAAGATTCATTGGGAAACATGTTGTTTTTGGCTGTTTGAGGAAAGCTTTTCCTGAATTCTTTTTGATTTTCTTTGAACAGTGTTGAATGAAGCATCCACCTCCATCTCATTTTTCTGATCAAGGCTTGGATTTGATTGTTCTGTTGTTTTTTCAGGTGATTCAGCTGTGGGTAAAGGGACTATGTCTGGGGGTTCCTGTGGTAACTCAGAGTCAGAAAGGTAAGTTGGGGTTTTTGCTTGCAGGTGGAGTTCATCCAAGGTAGGAAGAGTGTTGGTTTTCTGTGGTATTTCAGAATCAGAAAGGTAGGATGGGTTTTGGCTGGGGTGTTTTTCTTGCAGGTGGAGATCATCCAGGGACCAGTGTTTTGTATGAGGTACGGGAGAGGTCTTAGGGGTTTGATGTTCTTCCCAGCTAAGAAGGCACTTAGAGTAGATGTGATCATGGAAGATTATTTCCCAGTCTTGATCTGCTAAGTCAGAGATTAATTGAGTGTTTTTAGGCACGGATGATTGAGGATCTTGGAGAGGGTTAGAGGGGATGGACTTATTTGTGGGGCTGAGAGTGGGGCTGGGGACACTGGGCTTGGTTGGGATATTTTGCAGTGTGGGGTCTTTGGTTGTGTTATTTGGAGGGTTGCTGGTTGAGGGATCTTCTTGAAGGAGAGAGAAGGTGTTGGAGGTAGACAGGGGCTGAGAGCTAATGGGACCCTTTTCAGAGTCTGTCTGCTGGTTTTGGGAGGACTTTTTTGTATTGTTGCTGTTGATGTTTAGGAGGGGGAATTTTCAGGGAGGTTTTCACCGGAATCTGAGTTTTTGGAGGCTGATTCTTCTGATGTTCTTTAGTCAGTGGCAAGGTTTTAGGCTGTTGATGATGTGTAGGGATGAAGGATTTGCATTCCTTGCTATGTCTGCCCACCCCTCTGCACTCATTACAGTACTCAGGGAGATCTTCAAACATAGCAGTGAGCAGCACAGGAGTTTCACCATTTTTGATATAAAACTTTGTGGGCAAAGGTTTAGATATATCCACTTCAACACAAACACGAGCAGTTGATGGGCGTCCAAAATTTTCAGTAGTTGTGTCAATTTTAATAGCCTTACCAAAGACATTTCCTATTCTCAAAAGTGAAGATCTTGAGTGAAGGTGAATAGGAAGGTCTTTGATAGCTATCCATAGAGGCAAGATTGGAGATTCATACCTGGGGTCAAAATCAGGAGTCCACTTGGAAATTCTCATTGAATAGGAGCCAATCTTCCAGTCATGCCTTTTGAAACATCTGTGATAGTCATTATCACTTGAGAAATTAATAAGAATGTGATTGGTGTCTATAAGAGCCACTGTGAAAGCCATGAAACCTATCCTTTCCAGACAGAGGCGGATGAATTGGAGACTTGGTCTTCCATAGTAGAAAGTGCCAACAAGAGCTCTAGAGAACCTCGCTGAAAGCTGGTTTACTTCATCGATGGTGAAGGCCACAGAGGGGAGGCCTTTGTATTTCTCCAACTTAACTTCTTCAGGGATGATAAGAGCTGCACAATGCTGGCCATTGAGTGCTTGAAGGAAGGTTTTTGCTGGCTGGTCTAAATGAGAGCATCCAGGAGTATCAATGATCGCCGGAGGTCTGCCGGTGACGCCACCGGCGGTGGTTGAGAGCATAAGAAGAGAGAGAATTCTTATATATATATATATATATATATATATATATATATATATATATATATATATATATTATATTACCAAATTTATTACAAGGATTAAAAGTACACGTTTGGGGAGGACTACACCAAAGCCCCATAGGATTAAAGAAAAAAAACTGAAAAGAAATTCCAAAAGTGGAGAGACAAAAATCCTATACAATAAGAACAGAAAATTAAGAAAGCAGCCTTCAGTCTGGAATTCTTCTCTTTTATATATATATATATATATATATATATATATATATATATATATATATATATATATATATATATATATATATATATATATATATATATATCCCCCTTATATTTTAAAGCCCAATACAGTTTCCCTCCGTCAAATTGGTCATTTTCCCGTCACTTTACAGCCACCGTCCCATTCCCACGATCCTCCTTCCAAATTTCACAGCCACCGGCCTAATGTTTGCCTCCGTCTGTTCTCCGACTCTCTGCCATTTCTCCTTACCTTCTCACAATTTCTACACCGCCCAACGACCTCTGCCACCTCCACTTGAGACTGTCTTCCTCACCTATTAATAAGTACCGAACTAATTCTTTGACTATTATTCCTGCAAGAAATCTTTTCCACTTTATCCAAGTAATTCTTTCCTCTTCTTCTCCCTTTGCGTGTCTCTTCTTCGTCTCCTTCCTCGTCTTTTTTAATCTGATATTGAATCAGACACATGTTTATACTACATGATTTGTTCAATTTGAATCGGATACAAATTTTAAAAGTGCATGTTCCCCACAATTTTAAATTGAATTCATGAATCCACCCAAAACCCTAAGGTTTGATTTAAAAGTTCACAACACAAATCACATATTTAGGTTTCAAAATTAAATACGGACTAGATTTTAAGATTAGAAAACTAATTGTGTAGAAGATTACCTCGTTGGTAGAGACCTACTGCATCCAGCGAAGTAATGTCAGAGCAGTGTAGAAAATTTTAATTTGAATTCTATGCTTCTTGTTGGGAAAATAAGAAATATGCTTCTGCCTCTCCACAGTTATCTGCTTCCTTGTTACAAAACTGTCAATTGGGGTTGAAGTTTTAGCATACATAGGAACCCATAAAAATAATATTGTAGTTTTTAAAGATTAATGAACTGAATTTCGACTCATCCCTTTTAGCATACATAAGAACCCATGTCTTGTGTCTTTAGGCTTATTTAATTTACTCTTTTAAAACCTGTGCTTAATGTCTGTTTGAATCAGTGATTATACTTTCTTGAATTTCTGAAATAAAATTGTAGTACCTTTAAGAGCAATTTTCTAAACAAACAAGTACTTTGTTCTGATTCTGGTTACAAGTACTCAATTTGTAGTTCCCTCATGACAATACAATACCATTTTAAACAAACAAATTGGATAGAGGGCTCTTTTCTAAACAAACAAGTACTTTGTTCTGTTTCCAGTGCATAATTTTAGGTGTTTTCATTACACCAGATATTTAATTTGAGGAATATAGGATATTGCGTATTCAGCTCTTATACAAGCATATTTGTTCTAATTCAGTTATTAATTTGTATGACCATCGGGGAATTTCTTCTTCTCCATCCATTGCTTTGGACAATTGGGTTTGCTTTAAAAGGTTAAAATTAAGTTGGAATAGTAGAACCTGAAATGATGTTACCCCCTATGGTTGGATTTGACTCCCTTTTTATTCTATATTAACGATTTAAGTTTTAAAAATTCAGTTTGTAGTCCCTTAAATTCCATCACTAGATCTGATCGATTTCAGCCTGGTTGCCCATCTGATTTGTTTATTATTTGACTTTGTTACTTCAATTAGTTGACATCGATACATCTTATATGTGTGAAAGCCTTTCAATTTTTATGTATCCCACGTGCTCAAATCCTTTTTGGATTGACTGGGAAAACACCCTATGATTGCTAGGTAAACTATCTACCAATATTTGCCCCATATGAAGCTAGCATTTCCCATACGCAATCCATTATCGAGATTGTTTGCTAATTGTTATGCTCAATCATTTTTCCAGGTTTTAAAAACGCAGCATAGACGATGCTTACATTGTTTCCGTAGCTCTGGTACACATCAATCCCTTCAATCTGATTTCATTTGTATTGACTTTCAATCTTTTCATGTTCAATACTGCCCCCATTTAGTGTAGTTAATGCATTACTTTCTACGTGTTCTACTTTTCTTGAGTCTTAGCTCATGATCATTCTTTGAATATTATCTTCTTTCCACCCCATCTACAGACATTTTTTAACTTCAACACAACAGAAAAACTGTTACTTAGATTATTTTCATGAGGGAACTACATAGCACTGCATGCAGTGCGGAGACCGGGAATCAACAACTACAAAAAGGTCTATACTCGTATCATCTAGAATATTCATAACACTTTCACTTGTTACTCCACTCTAACATAATAACAAAAATATACACATTTAGAATCTCTACTGACCTCGGCGATGAGGAAAAGAATAGCATGATCACTGGAGCTGAACGCACCGTTGGAATTAATGGACATCGACGATCTTAACAAAGGGCTGAGATCACTAGTCATCACAGCTGTTGTGCAGTTACAGCGATCCCCATACCAAAGAAGAGATAAAATGTTTTATTTATTATGCCTAGATTAGCTATCTTACAAGCACACAGAGAGAAAAGAAATACCTGCAACCCAAGATGAGTAACATATGCAGGAGAAAATAATAAGTACACTTTCAAAGCACCTGCCTCCAGTAATGAAACTACATACTAGCCGTAGTGAAAATGACATCTAACCACTTTGCAGGTCATTTTCAAATTTTGTTAAGTCAGTTTTTGCCTTAACTTAAAAACCATTAAGTCTTAAGTGCATGTGAGATATATGTAATGCTATGCTACTATAACTGTTATGTCTAATACGGTGTATCACTGTAATCCTCACCCTTTCTGTAAACTTAAGGACATGTAAAATATATATATGTAATGCTATGCTGTTGTTACTGTTATGTCTAATACAGTTTATAACTATAATCCTTACCCCTTTTGTCATATAGTATACATGTTCTTAGTTGCTGCTATGTTCATGCGCACCTTCTATGCCTCTGCTAGGTTTGAATATTTAAAATTAATTAAATGGATCTATGCTTTTTCTCTTATTAAATGCAAACCATTCTTAAAGATGCTTGGGCAAACACACACGTAGTGTGTGTCCTGCTAGTAATTTTATTATGTCCACATTGTACATTTATTTGAGTTTTAATTTTTTGTAGAAGAATTTTAAAATAGTAATACACTTTTGAAATATCATTTTGTTATCATCCGTTCACTGTAGTTTGTGAGATGTAAACTAAGTTTAATAAGCATTTCGTGCATTTAGTTTTTTATGTTCTTTGTTTAAATATACTTTTAATTTGTAAAAAAATAAATATTTTGTGACATTTTAAAGTTTAAACTAGGTGCATATGTTTTCATCATGATTTACTCGAAACCGATACCGAACCATCCCGAGTCATACTGAACCAAAATTTTGGAATCGGGATTGGGACGACGTAAAATCCCATACAGAATTAAAATATTTGGTATGGTATCGGTAGGGGCTAAATACCGTACCATGCTCACCCCTACTCATAACAGCAAGGAGACATGCACGTATTTGGTGTCAATTACAAACCATGTACTAAACACAGGACTAGGGTTTACATTTTCATCATTGGAGATTGTTTTTGGTGGTGCTATTTCATCACCATCGATCCATCCAAGGAGATTAGCATCTAGAGAAGTCCTGACATTGAGAGACCATGTAGGCTAGTTTGAATATGTGAGTTTTTCATGGAGGAGCTTATGGAGATTACAGAGTAGAAATTTTACTTCGGAAGGCAGGGAAGCAAGAGGACTGGACGCGGATTCCATTAACAGTGATCCACTATCGACGAGGACAAGAAAAAAAGAGATTGGCGGCTAGGCTCTGTCGACCGTCAACAAAGACGAGAAGAGGAGACTAATGGCTAGGCTCGGTCCAAGAAGAAAGTGGCTAGGGTTTGGAGAACCTTTGTTCCGATACCATGACACAATCTGATAAAATATTGATCTCATTAAATTATATATATATATATATATATATATATATATATATATATGTTGAAACACGGGTTTGTCACGTTTTCGTACTAAAGCCGTGTTCGTTTTTGTGACAAGTTTTGATAATGCTAAACCGCCGTGATCAAGACACAAATTGAATATACAAGGCGAAGAACGAAGATAAGAACAAGAGCTAAACAAAGACCAAGAACGAAGACCATAGTCTTAATATCGTTGAGTCGGTCCTTATTGTGATCAAGACCGACCCAATCTTTACACCTTGGCTCTTTAGGCTAAAATCTTTTCATTGCATTTCTTACATCATAAAAATGTTTTTCAAACATGTTTAAGTCATCAAAAACACATGGTGTTCGGCCAAACCAAAAACCAAGCCATCCGGCGTTCGGCTTTCAGAAACCGGCGTTCGGCATTCGGTTATCGGCATTGGTTTTTGGCGTCTGAACCAACCAAGTGGTTTCCAACATTTTATGATTGGTTTTTACTCTTTGGCATGTTTAAATAGTTCTCCAACAAAAACACCTTGAAAACCACCTTTCGTTTTTGGTCGTTTGGGAAACACCACGTAAAACGGCATAAACTTGGCTAGCCGTGGTTTTTACCCAAATGACGTGGTTTTTAAAGTGTCTCACTTTATTCTTAGCCAAATACATCAAATAAGTGTTTTAAACACATGGTTTTTATTTTGGAGAAACTTGGATTTTTCGGTCGATTTTTGCATCGGTTGGCTAGGCCGTGGTTAAGGCAAAAACCATAGGTTTTTGACTAACCATCCACCCAGCGGTGGGATGATTTACCCATCGATGGGTAAGAGGTTCTTTAGCCCAACCAAGTTCCAGAACCATGCCAAACAGCGATGGGAAGTTCTACCCATCGCTGTTAAAGCCTTGGTCCAACATCAACACAAGGCAAAACGACCTTACCTAGCGATGGAGACTTTACCCAATCGATGGGAACCCAGCGATGGGAAGGCTTAACCATCGCTGGGAAGGCATGACCGTTGGAAGTCATTTAAGGTTGATTCTTTCCTTGTTTGGAAGTCAACCTCCCACCCAGCGATGGGAAGCTTGTACCCATCGATGGGTAGGTGACTGTTGGCTTCAAAACTCAAGGAAATTTGGCCTACCAGATCCAAATTTTAATCAATCCCATAAATCACGCCAATCACCTCTTTAATGTATTGGTCCGTTGGAGCCTATTTTGGCACTATAAAAAGGGGTGTTTGGGTCTGCCTTTCTCATTAATTCACTTCACAATTCTCATACTTTCATTGCATTCAAAAAACATTCTTTTCCATAGCTTTTTAGAGCCAATTCGTGTGAAGTTTGAGTTGTTTTTGAGCGTACTTAGTTTACTCAATATGTACTCTAAAAGAGAGTCTCGTTCTTGAGTGTATTTGTGTTCTTAGACACGTAGAGAGAAAGTATTTCTCTCGTTTGATTCAAAGGAAGGGCTGTTTCCTTTGAAGGATTCGTTGAGGTTCGTGTGACTCGAATTCTCAAGTTGTAAGGGTTTGTTAAATACCGTTAAGCTTAACGAGATAGTAGTGTAGCTCGAGAGAGTCTCTCGGGAGGCTGGACTAGCCACAAGTTGTGGTGAACCAGGGTAAAATTCCGTGTTCCGTTTTCAAATTTAGAGTAAGAAAAGTAAGAACAAAGCTTTAAGAACACTCAAGAATAGAGAAAGAGGCTTTAGAATTAATTGGAAAGTTGTTGTTTATAAAATGAGGCTTAAAGGGGGTTTATATAGGAGTTTGGAATGTTAAAATTTAAGTTTTTAACATTAAATGCCGTTAGGAAGTGATTAGGGGTGATTTGAATTTAAATTGGCAATTTGCTACAGTGCTGCCAACGGATCCGGTACCCTTCACGGTAGGGTCAGTGCCGTCCGGTACCTAGGTACCGTGACCCACGGTATAGCCTACCATTTGGGGGTACCGTGTATGCCTAAAGTTTGGTTCGCCTCTGGCGGTACCTGGTTAGGACGGGGGTAACCATCCGTCTCAGCCTTCCGTCCGGTACCTAGGTACCGTTACACGGTAGGGGGTACTGAAAGTCGGTTTACACCCTAAGAGGGGGGTGAATTAGGGTGTTTGCAAATTTTTCGTAGAAAACAAAAACTTATGCGCAAAGTAGTAGCGGAAAAAGAGCAAGAAGGATATAAAGGATAAAAAATACGACACTGGCGATTTTATACTGGTTCGGGAACTCCCTACTCGAGTACCTCGAGACTTCTCCTCAAGGATTTAACCTCCACTAACTTGTTTGGCTTCACTAAGAAGACTCAAACGAGGTTTGGCAAACAACCCTTGCCAATAAGCAAATGAGATTTTACTACGGCTATCTCAACCGTTTACAACCAAAGATTTTAAGGCTGTCTTCAACCTTACAATGAGGATTTAGAGGCTATCCACACCTTTTACAAATCAATAAAAAGATTGGTGTTGCTTCTCTACCAAAATGATAACAAATGTAAGTTGGGTAGGAGAAGAACAAAAGATTAAATCAACAACAACAAAAGCCTATAGGCAAGATATAAAATAATGAAGCACAAATGCCCTTGTGTGTGAGTGTATAAAAAGATGAAAGCTTTTTACTCAAAAGTGTAAGAAAAATAAGAACAAGGCTTTAAGAACACTCAAGAATAGAGAAAGAGGCTTTAGAATTAATTGGGAAGTTGTTCTTTTTAAAATGAGGCTTAAAGGGG